CCGACGGTAGGCTTGTAGGCAGATGTTAGTAGCAGCGAGGCCACACAGATTCGGTGGAGGCCGGTCCGACGGATTTTCTACAGAATATCCTACAGTCCCCTTGCCAAGTTCATCTTCAGATGGTCCCTCGCCATCATCCCTCCCGTTTTGTGTTTGCCGCGTTGCAGAAAGGTCTGCAGTCGAAGAGCGTTGCAGGCGTGGTAAGGATGCTTGGGGCGGCAAAAGACGGGGACGAGATGATTGTGAATATATATATATGACGATATATATATATAACAGAGCTCCCCAGAGGGACAAGAGAGAGAAGAGGACAAGAAACGAGATGGGCTGTGACAAACTGTTTTGTTGGAGATTCACCATATATATAGAGAGAGAGACAGAAGAGGACAAGAAACGAGATGGGCTGTGACAAACTGTTTTGTTGGAGATTCACCAACTCATATATATATATATCGTCACAAACAGAACTGCCCGGTAAACCATAGGCAGAGAGAGAGAAGATATATATATACTGGCTAAGTGTCCGCGGTGCGGGGGCTACACCCGCAGAAATAACAAATGCAGTGGGTGACCACTGACCTCACAGGCTCACACTGCATTTCGGATGGCACACCTCCAAGATGTTCGTCCGCAGAAACAACGACGGCCTACCGGAGGGCACAAAACGACAGTCGCACGAGAAATAAAAAAAGAAGGAAAAAAAATAAAGGGGGGGGGACACAAAACGACCGGCACAAGAAATGCAAAAGAGAGAAGGGGGACACAAAACGACGGCGAAGAGGGGACAAAAAAAAAATAAAAAATAAAAAGCCACCCGCATATCGGATGACTCGCCTCCAACATGTTTGTCCGCATATACGCCAGCCGTGTGCCCCACGCCCAGGGCGTGTGCTCTCATTTAATGGTGCGCTGTGAACATTTCAGTATGCACACCCCTCTGCACTCTCTCCCGCTCTCGATCGCCTTCATCCGCCGCCCCTAACCAGAACTTCGACCCGAATCCGGCGAGCAGTGCGTCATGGACCTCCCTCCCCCGGCCACTGCTGCTTAATATGTTTATAGTTCTATATAACATATATATTGTCACAAAGTTATCAGAGTGCAAAAGCCAAAAAGTCGGAAAAACAAACAAAAGGAAACAAAAAAACATCAATTCATTTTTAATCTTCTTCCTTACAAGACTCCCCCTGTTCAGAACCTCTTTTGCATACAAGGCCGCCAACGTGGATGTAGGTTGAGCGGCAGCTGCCCCC